CGGCAAACTTAACTTGCTGAGGGCGCACTCAATCCCACTGTCCATGTCACTGACAAAGATGTTAAACAAGACCGGTCCCAACACCGATCCCTGAGGGACACCACTCGTTACTGGTCTCCAGCTGGACATTGAGCCATTGACCACAACTCCTTGAGTGCGGCCGTCTAGCCAGTTCTTTATCCACCGAGTGGTCCATCCATCAAATTGATGTTGCTCCAATTTAGAGACAAGGATGTCATGTGGGACAGTGTCGAACGCTTTACACAAGTCCAGGTAGATGACATCAACTGCTCTACCCCTGTCCATCAGTTCTGTAGCCCCATCACAGAAGGCCACCAGATTGGTCAGGCAGGATTTCCCCTTAGTGAAGCCATGCTGGCTGTCACCAAGCACCTTGTTGATTTTCATGTGCCTTAGCATGCCTTCCAGGAGAATCTGCTCCAAGATTTTGCCAGGCACAGAGGTGAGACTGACTGCTCTGTAGTTTCCTGGGTCATCCATTTTCCCCTTCTTGAAAATGGGGGTTATATTTCCCCTTTTCCAGTCATCGGGAACTTCCCCTGACTGCCAGGATTTCTCAAATATGATGGCCAGCGGCTTCGCAACTTCATTTGCCAGCTCCTTCAGGACCCGAGGATGGATCTCATCAGGACCCATGGACTTGTGCACGTTCAGATTTTTAATATGTCTCGAACCAGATCCCCTCCTACAGTGGGCCCAAGGTCTTCATTCTCACAGTCCCTGCGTCTGCCTTCCAAGACTTCATATTGAACACTTGAGAGGCAAAGAGGTAGAGGGGCATTTATACATTATGGTATATCTTGTTGATCTTAAAAAACAGTTGTAGTGCAAATTAATTGGGTAATGAAATGCATTCATTTAATGGTCATGAAATTAAATGATAGCATGTGTGAGGAAAATGAAAAGTTAAAGCAAGTAGAGTATTTGATGCATTTCCTGCTAATATGCTTTGCCATCGTTCAGGTTTCAGTCTGCCTTGAAGGAAGACTGACACTAGCTCTAAATGAGGCAGTGATTTTTTTACAAGATGAAAAGTGCAGGCTGAAGCTGGTTTATGATGCAATCCAGGACCAGGGCACCCAAAGAGATTTACATACATAAGAGAGAATATTTTTATCCAGTTTCTGTCATCTTAACATATATAATTTGACCACTGATACTTTTTCAGATTCACATTGCAGTTCATGACCCCCAGCTAAATGTGCACATCAGCAAAAGATAAGGCCCAGGCTTCTGCTCTAAAATGCATAATTAGAGGTGGAAGTCTCTTTATCTTATTTGCCAAGATAATCTATAATCCAACCATATCTGAGTGTGGCTGAAGAACAGATTTTATACAGGATAGGATGGGTAGATCTGCAAGGAGGATGGAGAATATTTTAGCTTGGTTTCACTAGTTTACATTCATCTAAGTTCCATAATAAGTAAAAGCTATTATTAAATAGGACGTTTATCTCAGATGTATAATTATTTGAATAATTACATGCAGAGTTGTTTAAATAGGAATGGATAATGAAATCTCATTCTAATTTCTTATAGGTAGCTATATATTCATAAACCAGTCTTCCCTTCCCTTCCCTTCCCCCTGTTATGGGCTGCTGTGCTCATTTTCTGTTGTGGGGAGGACTTTTGCTCTGTTGGAAGAGCCTGTACAGCTGCTTTGCAAGGTACATCACGGGCATCCCAGACTGAAAGGAATCTTTGCTCTTAACATGCTTTATCATTTTCCCACTCCTGGTAGTTGCTAGAAGCTGCTTTCCCTGTACCTGCTGTGTTGCAAACATACAGAAGAGAAATCCTTACAGCTCTCTTACTTACACTAATAGGATCATCCAAGTTATTAAGGGTTGGGAATCATTAATGCTTTGGGGTCTCCAGCATAATACTCAGCATTCCTCCTGCTTTTGCCTTAACTTGTCTTCATCTCCTGTTTTCCTAATACTATCCATTAGGGTGGGCATTTGGTACTATCAATCATGAAATCATCATTCATTGGTAAGTTTACTTAGTGACCGTATTGCCCTAAAACATAAGTTATTATTAAAAAGCCTTTACAGTCCATGAATAAAAAGTAGCCATTTAGATCAGTCTGCAGATATAACTCACTGTGATGTCACAGTGATGTCTAAGTGCTGTATAACTGTATAACTGTTAACTAATTGTCAGGCGTAATTACTGTTAAAAGGGAGGACAGCCAGTTAAGGCTGTGCTTGTGACCAGTGCTAAGGGAGAAGGCAGAGCTCAGTGGCAGATCAGGGCCCAGCCTGGGACACATACGACATCAGCTTTTATTCCTTAACCAGACAAGGACATTATTAACATGTGTGTGCACTTACAAGCTCCCTTCCAGCTGTCTGTATCATATTTTAATTGAGTCATTGTTAATATAGAAAATACAAAAGTGATGTGTTAATTAAGTTTTCCTGGGCTGCTGCAATACTTCTTTGGAAAAATTTCAGCAAACATCTTTCATGGAGCCCATACGTGCCAACTGCCATCATGAACCTGTGTCTTGGTTATGGCAGATAACATTGCTGACTGAACCTTGCTTTTTACATGCAATTGCCTTTGGTTTTCAAGGGTTTGGTTTGCTAAGGTTTTCCCGGGTTCTTGGGGGCAGATTGTTTTTGTTTGTGTCTTTTTTGTTATCGGTTTGTTAGGTTTTTTTCCCCAAAGACAATCCTGTAACATGACTTCTGAAATCACTATTATTCACAGGTTTGTGTGTGTTCTGTTTATAACACATTTGTTTATAACATACTTGGAATACAAGTATGTTTATAACATGCTTGAAAATTAATACTCACATAAAAAGTTTTAATCAAAAATGTGTCCAGGAGGCAAATACTCCTCTCAGGTTACTACCCTTGGATTTGTGAGGAAATCAATAACTGGATTACCTTGGATTAACTATCTGGGCTGGCTACCCAGTGTAGATGCAGCAGCGCAAGCTGGGTAACACTTCTCAAACATACAGGCTACACGCTTTATAATTATTCTAGTTAGTGTGTCTGTCTGATTATTGCCTAATTAATGTAAAGTTGTATTTTAAGGCATTATATGGCTTAACATTTTCCTGGCTTTCTGTCGTCTTACTATTTCTATGCAGGGAGATTGCAGTTTATATCTTCTGATAACAGAAGCACAATGACTTGACGTTAGCTCTTCTATCTCAAGCTAGAATCAAAACTGCAATGAATCAATAATGTAAAGCTGGGTAGTTGTATCCTCCTATTTACACTTCTTAGTATGAATTTGCTTTTATAATAGAGTAACACCATGGACAAAGTGCAAACTTCCTGTAGAGGACCAAATAAATTTAGGTATACAGAGGGTTATCTGAGTTCAAACCACACTTACAGCTGGTCTGTGCCCCATATGAAGCAAATGTTTTTTTTCAATACAGTATAAGCTCAAAAGAGACCTGCATAGTAAAAATCCTGGCTGGCACCTCCTTCCTACAACAGGTACCTTAGACACAGAAATCCAGCTCCAGGGAGCAGAATTGAGTCCAGCCAGGTCAGTTGGGAAACACAGCATGCAAAAGTTTCCATTGATGTTACCATACATCATTTTCTGTGTGTAAGTAGGGAAGGAGTATCAGTCTCCAGGACTTCTAGATTGCTTATTTCTACAGGTAATAAAACAACTCTAAGAAATTGAATAGAAGAGGATTAATAAAATAAGAAATTAAAAAAGCAATTTTGACATGTATAGTCACTGGAGCATTTCAATAAAATAGTTGCCTTCTGTCTTGTTTTTTAGTGGCTGGAAATGGATTGGTTGTTTGTGATTAACACTAAGCTATTTTTATTGTCTATTGCATCTTAGAAACTTCAAGTTGTTTCTTTTTTGTTGTTGGTTTTTTTATGTGAGGAATTGCCATACACAATTACACAACTGATTTTCAGAGGCTTTTGCCATGAAAGAGAATTTTGGCAAGCAAATCACACTATATTCACCTTTCTTTCAAACAGCTATTCATGTACTGCTAAGTATCCTAAAATACTACTAATAGCAGCTGCTTACGTTACTGTAATCAAAACTGAATAACATTTAACCTTTGTCTGTTTTACTGTCATGGTGATGAATTCTTCTGTAGTTTCCTAGCTCATAATTCCTCCTCCTCTTCACAAGATCCCAGAGAGGGCAAGATAAAAATGCTTGCATCATGGTAATAAAGTGTGTGGACACAGCAACAAGCGCAGGTGATGCTGGGCTGAAACTGCAGAGCATCATGTTATACACCATCAGGGGTGTTTTATGTAAGCATTCCCAATGATTTTTGGAGAGGGGCTGAGGGAAAAAAAGCATCCCTCTAGAAGTTTCCTGCAATGTTAGGAATGGGAAGAAAAAATTCATCCTCTTCTGCCCAGAGTGGCCAGTCAATATGCATTTAAATGCCATCTGTACTTTGCAGACCTTCATATCGTCTGGAAAATTAATCCAGACCAGAAATCCTTTCATTGTTGTTTTGACAACCTCCTGCAGACCTGCATTTCCCAGGTAGAACAAGAGGTATTTATAGAAGCTTTCTTCTTTTTGCTTTTTTTGTTTCTTGCTTACTTCAGTGAGCACTCACCGATCTTGCTCTCACATGGTAATGCAGCCTGAAACAAGCTGCACCTAAGCACTTTTCCTTACAAATTCTGGTTCCTGCTAGTAAATTCCTTTTTAACATTTCTAAACTGCAGACTAAAGGATTTCACTTTTCAAAAATCAGCTTTTTGTTATTGCTAGTAATTCTTCTTGTCCTAGAACTTTTTCACTTTTTAACCTCTTTCCAGAGGTGATAAAAACATAATCTAAATACAACAACATTTTTTTTGCGCCTGAAGAAAAATGTACATTTTACTGTGATCAAGTTTTCATGACCTGTAGCATATTGTTCCAGATTAACCCATGGTTTTCTAAAGACTGTGTGGTACGCTGGAAGCATCCAGACTGAAGTACATTCACCTTTCAATCTCTTTCAACAGGTTCTCTCCATGGGAATGATGACTGAATACTACCACTACTTTTTTACAACTCTGGTAAGGAACACGAAAGATTTGGAGTGATTTAGGCATTGTTGTTGCAGAAAAGACAGCTTAAAATTTACATTTTTTCTAGATCTTTCTTGCCATTATTCAAGGAAAACCCTGGACAATGGGTAGTAACACTCATTAGTAATACCAGGACTCACAATTGTGTAAGGAAACTGGTTTGCAGTATCTGTGGGGCTGGCTAACACTTTAATACAATGAAAATGAATTGGAGTACTGTGCTTAAGGAGGACCCATTGGTACAGGTGGATCAGAGTGAAATAAAATAATGAGTCAGTGACTTTGCAATGGATCCAAGATCAAGCACCACAGGTGGTGTTGCTCATCTCTAAAATCACAGATTCATAGAATGGTTTCGGTTGGAAGGGACCTTAAGGATCATCTGATTCCAACGCCCCTGCCATGCGCTGGGACACTTTTCAGTAGACCAGGTTGCTCCAAGCCTTATCCAGCCTGGCCTTGGACACTGCCAGGGATGGGGCAGCCACAGCTTCTCTGGCAACCTGTTCCAGTGTTCACTCTTTGTTCTGATTAACACACTTCTATAAGAACACAAAATTACATAGGTATAAAATCACCTGAGAAGTTTTATACTAAAAGAAAAACCCTACATTTCTTTTGTGGTACACATCTATATATGGTACAAATACTCTATAAATACTTGTTTCAGCACATTTTTCCTATATTTTAACTGATATGTTACATATAAATATAACTCAATCCATGCTTGAAGTCCATTTGCATTGTAGACTAGAAAGACAGCAAAGACCCAATATTGCTAGAACTGGATTATATCATGTGCATCTGCCTATTCTTTATTTTCTTTCCATATAAAATTTTATGTGGGAGTGAAAAATTTTGAATCCAATAGTCAATTCATTAGTTAGAAAAGACTCTCCAGTTGTTTGGAACTTAAAGTAATAGCTTGAAATAGTTCTCTTTGAGGCCATTTTAACATCAAGAAAAATGTGAAAATTATTGTGGAACTTACAGTTTTATACAATAACCAATACAATAAACATTCTTACATAAAATGGTAACCACCACCACCACCAAGATGCATGAGATAGAACAGAGCAGATATTAGAACAAGGAATAAGCAGTGCTGGTGTTACCTTTGCATTGTGGTATTGTAAATGTTGACATTTTGATGGTTACTGTGATAGTAAACCATGACCAACACATTTGTCATTTTACTGGCCCACTGGAATCTGCAGAAAGTTGTTTTGAAAAGCAGCCTTCAGGCTTTGAGAAGCAGTTATCGTATTTCCACTGCCTGATAAATACAGCTGTGGAATGTGCCACACAATTATATCACTTAGAATACCCATTATTTTCCTGCCCTGTAAATGCTGACACTGAAGTGCATGGGCTTACTGTGCACTAGCCTGACACATCCATTAGACATACTGGCAGCAAGTCACCTGAAGGAGGCAAGGCAGGAGAAAAATGGGATTCATAAGTAGCAAAAGTTTATTTTTCTTGATACCTATTGGAATTTTCTTTTGCCAAGCTGAGAAATAAGCTTGACACTGGCCAGCTAGTTCCTCGTGTTGGTTTGTCAGAGCTCTAGCACTGTTAAAGAACTGCTATAAATTAAAATTAGATACTGCTGTGAGGTTTTTTGCAAAATAGCGGTGTCCTGGAGAAATTATTCTTTATGTTCCATGGTTTATGGCATGGTTTGTCATAAATTTCACATAGCTTTAGTTTATACAGATTTATAACCTAAGTGGTCATGACTAGATTTTGAAGGCAAATAGAGCGTTCACGGGAAAAAAAACACATCAGCACTTGAGCTTTGGGTTGAAAATCAAATGCAATTTTGGCCTAATTTTGCCTTCTGAACATTTTGCTTTAAAAATACTACATCTGTTTTTGTTTGTTTTCTTAATGGTGATTTAGGATCTATTTGCATTAGACCTCGAACCCTACAGATATAGTGGAGTAAATATGACAGGGTTTCGCCTGCTCAACATCGAAAACCCCCACGTTTCATCGGTCATTGAGAAATGGTCAATGGAGCGTCTGCAGGCACCACCGAAACCAGAGACTGGCCTCCTCGATGGCATGATGACAGTAAGTAAATAGCCACAATAATGCGGGGGGGGGGGGGCATCTACCACACATTTCATAATGCTGGTCTATCATATGTGAACTGATCCTATTACTGCTTCATTTTACAATGCAAATGCTGAAGTAGCATCCCCAAAATAGACTTCCTTTTACCTGCTTCTACACAGAAGTGCATTGGCCTCATGAACCAGTGTTATACTCATCTGTGTGACAAACCACTCCCAGAATGTTCTAGAGATGAGTGGCAATACTCCATCACAGTGTCTTCCAGCTAACGTCATACATCTTATTGTTGTCAAATGTATATACTGCTGCCTCATTTTTCTAATAATGTCCAACATGGAGTGAAGAACATAAAAATGTTCATAGCAGGTGTACAATGTATAACCTGCAGGGAAAGGTATTGTACATGTGGACAGGTAATAGCATTTTTAAATTGGAAAAGTGCCCTTTCTCTTCATTTCCATCATCTACAGTAACTCTGTCTTTTAAGGTATAATTCACAGATAAATGAAAGCTATCACCAAGCCAGGAAATTAGGATTTCCTCCCTACAGCTACCCCAAGAAGTAAAGGAAAGAATAGGAACAATTACTTGGGCAATTTGACTCCATTTGGTGTTGCAGGGTGAAGGGTTGCCATCTTTTTGCAATATAAGATAATGTATCTTATGTACTGAGTGCAGTTTGAAGTGTTATGAAATAGACTTTATTGCAGATGATTGATGGGAAAATTTTGAAACATTCTAGCATCCTGAAGAGAAGTGCATTATGTGTGTTATCTCTAGCATTTCAAAAAAAGTGTTCCTTGTTTGGGCAGTGCCATTGTGCTCACTCATATACAAAGCAGGGAAGAAAGCTGTCCCTGGGAACATCTGATGTGAATGCACAAGACCTGCAAGGGTAGCTATTCACACATAGCTATTCACCTGCATTCACTCAACCGTCAAACTGAGAAAAACAAAGTTCTTACTAGACTCTTAAGCTCTCATTTGTATCTGACTCTTATCCTCTTCTATTCATCTCTATAGTATTTTATTGTCCTTGATGCCCTGAAACAGCATGAGTGCCAGGGAAAGCATCTTCCTAGTTGGCTGTGATCATTTAAATATTCATAGCAAGTTCTGTTTATTCAGTTTGATGGAGAACTGCAGTACTGCTGTATTTCATTAGGCAATAAGGTTATGACAACCTGTGTAGTATAAGGAGATCAGGATTACATGCCCTGTTGTCAGCTCAGGATTTCTCTCTTCTGTTTCATGCTGTATTGTTTGTTCTGATGTCAGCTTGTGGGAAGTCAGCAGGGCATGACCAAGACAGTATTGAGCTCGCGTCCCACTTGCCCAAATTGCATACGAAGGCATAGTTGTTCTAATGAGATCTTTTGGTTTCTTTGCAATGATTTAAATAGAACACAGTAATCAGAAAAACAAGTTCCAGGACTAAATCTTAGACCCTTTCTTCTTATGGCATAAGTATAAGGCATTTTGCTTCAGAAAATGAGGTGGGGTGACCTTTGCTTTCTCCATGTAACCCCAAGCCCTAAAACAGAACAGTGTGTGGAGAAATAAAGGCTGAGGGAGGTAATATAGCCTCCTGTCTTCTGGATGAAAAGATGGATGAGTAACAAGTTACACAAACATGAGACTCAAACAGCTGAATCTGAAAGAACATGTCCCCAGTCTAATGTAAAATCTGATGCCCATTGTCATTGATGGGAATCTTTCCATATTTTTTTGGATCAGGCCTTTAGTCTCTGGGTCCATTTGGAACAACTCTCTGTTTTCAGACACTTGACAATGAGAGCTGTTATTGTCTCCTCCTTCTTGACTCACCATTTATAATGTTTTCAATTTACTCTGATTGTGGGAGCACTGTTTTGGGCAAACCCCGATGAGTATGTCAAGAGCAATTCCTCATCTGCCATATATTAAGATGAGTTGATAAATTCAGATCACATTTGATTGCCAGCAAAAACCTCCAATGCTGATAAGACTGATGCTGCTGTAATTTACTTAGGTAAATGAAACAGACAAAGAATGAAATATATTGATTTCCCAAAGGAATCACATGGGAAACGAATAAAAAATGGATTAGCTTTGCAGTTCATATAAATGAGTCCAGTTTCTCATCTGCTGAGGGTTTTTTTTTTAAGGCCCCTGTTTAATTATTTAGTAGCTTTACAAGAAAGGTAAGCACTTCATCTTCAGAGCATCCCTGTGCATTAAGCAAAACATGATTATTTCCACCTCGCACAAGAGCACTGAAACACAGCGCAGGTGAAGGTGAGATTTTTCTAAAACTTCTCAGTGATAAAGGTTGACAGTGCATGCAATCTCAGATTGAGGCATGCTTTTAAACCAAGAAACCCATCCTCAAAACCCAGAGATGCACAAACAGCATCCAGTAATTTCAGTACTGTTTAAGTATCTAAGAGCTGAATTCACCTGCCCTTAGACAGCTACAGGTTAGATGGATAAGTCCAACTTAATCACCAAAAAAGACACCTGAAAGACACAATTCACCTCTCTTTAAGACAGCATGGGAGGTGTGGCAAAGGAACAGCCATAGCAAGATCTCTGTGGGGCCATTTCATATGTTTGTGCCAAAAGCCAGTATCCCTGAGGGTAGTAGACACTTAGAGTAGACAACTGCCTGGTGGGATACCTACCAGGTGTTCAATGGGACTGATTTCCCTGGAAAGCAGGGCCTGCCTACCCTGTGGGTAAGAAAATCCTACAAATGCCATGAGAAGAGCAGCAATGGAGAGCTAGCATGGGCCCCACACAGGCAGCTGTCCTACATGCCCCCATGCCCTGCCAACCCACAAGCTGGGCAGACAGGCTTCAGAACCTGAATGGTTCTTTCACCATGGTGCTTTCAACATAATTCATGGAATTGCACACCTGGAGGTGCTGAGAGTCTTTGGCAAATCCCATGAGGAAACTATAGAAGACTGATTACTGCTAAGTGCTTGACCCCAAGATACGTCTGGAGTGTGGGACCTGCGCTCCTGTATCACCTGAGGCTTCTTCCTGCAGCTATCCAATGTAGCTTACTTCCCAACGCTCACCTGAAAATACTCTGAAACTAATATAAGCTTCCAAAAAAAAAAAAAAAAGTAGTTTTTGTTGCACCTTAGATTTTCATGGAGAGCATGAAAAGTGGCATTTCCCGTAACAGCAGCAGCAGCACAGGAAACTGTTCTCAGTAGAGAAAAGCAGGGTGTCAAGATGTACGTTAAAGAAAGCCTTTCTGTTTTTTTTTCATGCAGACTGAAGCAGCTCTGATGTACGATGCTGTTTACATGGTAGCAGTGGCCTCCCAGCGTGCCTCCCAAATGACTGTCAGCTCCCTGCAGTGCCACAGACACAAGCCGTGGCGTTTTGGACCCAGATTTATGAATCTGATAAAAGAGGCAAGTGTAGACCATCTGCTTATGGTCAGCATAATCCTTCTTTTCTTCTTTACTGCATTGGCTTGTGTTGTTGCTCCATGCTCTTTGTCATGTGCTATGTTTCGGTTTCTGGCACTCAGATATCCATTTCTTCCTTATCTTTCTAGCTGAGAAACATCAATCTAGGCTGTGGCTTGCATTCTTGCATTCTATTGGAGACTTTATCTGGTCTTTCAAAAAAAGAGACTGCTAAACCCTAGGTGTGATAAAATCTCAGCCTAACACACCAAAGGCTTCCAGGATTTTTTCTCAGTTAATGTCTGTTCTGTATGTTTATAATTTCCAAAAATATGAAATAACTAAAACCAGCCATTTTAGAAAATGAAAGAAAAGTAAGTCTATAGTTTTGTCCCTGTTTTGCCATTTATTTCCAATTGTTTTGCTGATTGCTTGATCAGTAATCAATATCCAGGAAATATTGCAGCTAGTATTTCTAAAGAAGTAAATAGTTTCATGAAGTAACGCACTATGTTCTAAGAATACATCACTGAGCTAGCTTGATCCACAGATGTTCTAAGAAATACACATTTTAGCTGAAATACCTTCACACTTCCAAAACTTCAGTTTTTGTTATAAATTTGAAATGGAAACTTTTCCTTTAGGGAAGAGTATAGAAATGAAAATTGGAAAATTCTGTAGAATATATATATGTTTTTTGTCTTTTCCATCAGCTCTTGTCCATGACATGGTGACTCCTATCAAAGCCACATTCATTCACTTTTGTGTAGGTGGAACAGGATCTGTAGGCTGAGGTAGAAGGTAAGAGGTGGCAGCATGTCAGGGCATACACCTGAATCCAGACATATGGTAGGAGCAAACTGAAAGACATGGTATGTGGTGGTTACGGAACAAGTAGAAGAGCTATCATCACCTTCTCCAAACCTTTCCAAGTAAAGTTTTTAGAATTGCCATAGGCAATGCATGGTGATTCACCTACACAGAAAGCATTAAAAGTTTCCAAAACATTGCTTTCCACACAGGGTGTTTTATGAATTTTGTTTCCTTGTAAGCTTCTCTCGTTGAAAGTATAAAGAAAATAGTACTCCAGTACTCAAGGTCCTCACTTTAAGAATTAAGGAAGCTTTGAGGTACTTTTCTTACAGCAACACAATCATGGGAATACCCAAAGGAGTCAGAAAAGAAGGACTGGTAAAGATTATTTCTCTCACACTGACATCATCAGCCATGCTGCATCCAGCTTCCCTACTGGGCAGGAGGTGGGAAGATTGTAGCAGGAACAGTAAAAGACAGGAGAAAATTGTCTAAGAAGTGTCTGTAATAAAGATGAACTTGTCCCTCCCTCCTTCCCTCCCTTCTGAAGTGATCTAAGTGGGAATCTTTGCTGTTCTGTTTCTCAACATCAAACTAAATGAAGTGCCATTGCTACTCAGCCAACTTCTGGTGCATTTTAAGAATAATTATAATGAGGTTGAAAGTTAGTTAGTTAGTGTGTATCAGTCAACACACATGCAGTGGTGACCCACGTATTTTAGGTGATGCTAAGTATATAGCATAAGGGTCCTGAATCCTGAGCCAGGAGTACTTTTACCAAGATTACCAGATCTCAGCAGATCCAGTTCAAAGCTTAAAACAGTTAGTGCATTCACATTTATCATGTACAGTTAGTTTGTCTTGTATGGAGTGAGATATGCGGGCTAATTACTGATCATTTTGCAGATAGTGTCTTTCATGATCAGTAAAACACTGATTTAAATGCTCAGAGAGTCTTATCTTTTTGTTGAGGCCAAAAAAGATGTCTGTTAAAAGTAGAAGATAAGGTTTAATAAAACAACATTACATTTCCCATAAAGGCTATAACAGGTGTTGGAACCTAAATTGCAAATAAATTTGGACCTCCTTAGTTCATGTTAGTATCTGGTTTACTCATGAAGGACAGATGAACTTTATAAATTAGAAATCAAACGAGTAGGTACGGACAAAAAAAAGTCAAACAAGAAGAATGCTAATTTGGGCCCACAAAAATACAATTTAATTTTACTATACTGTGGTAGGGTACTAACAGTCTGTAAAGGGCTATTACAGTCTGGTCTGAAGACAAATATTCTATACTGCAGTCTAAATAAACAACTTTTAGACAAAGAAGTTGCCTGCAATGAGTCCTGCAGATGCTAGAGCTTAGCAAGTACTTCAATGGATCAGTGGTGGGCTTTTGCATTTAATTTCAGTGGTGATAAGAACTGCCGTCATCTCATTTGGTTTGTGGGCCAGTGCTATAAAATGCCAGCTGATGGTAATAGAAAGGACCTCAGAACCTCCCTGCACATGAGCAGAGGTTAAGGTGGAAAGCTTTGTATAGCAAGTCATAGGCTGCTTCTCTCTTCATCAGCAGATGACAAATTTCAGCCTGTCACTGTCCTGCTGGAAAGTCAGTGTTCAGGTCATATCTAGTCCTCAGATAAACATGAGTTAGGTTCGTCCTGAAAGCAACTGAATACCCTACATCCTCGGGCAAAATATTACCATCTGATTCAAGCTGATACGAATGTATGCACATTGGAGTTGATTTCTGAATTTTCAGAGTAAATGAAAATGAAAAATGCCTAGTTTAATGTGAGAATAATTCTCTCTCAACCTTAAGGCTTCAAGTAGGTGCAACAGGTAACAGCAATAGCAGATTCACTGCCTATTTTTCTTAATGACTAAGATGAGGTGCTTCTAGCAAGACTGTAGGAGAAAAGTAAAAATGTCTGAGGCTGCAGAATAATCAATTACTGCAACAAAAATGCTCTAAAGATTTCAGGAGTTAATGCTGATTGTAGGAAACATTTGAAAATTTGCAGAGAAAAGCAAGCCTGACCAATGCCCCCCAGTCCTGAGGATAGCTTTGAGGTCAGAGAGGTCATCAGCTAGTCCTGAAAAGGAGAATATTATATAAAATAGACTGTTTGGGATCAAAAATCTTCTACATTAAGATCTTTTTAATGAAAAGTAATTCCTTGCCAGAAGCTTTTGTCTCTCAGTGACCTAATGTCATTCATATAAAAGTGATATTTTAATCTTTTAGCCCTTTTGGAAGCATTTTGCCCATGCCCAGAAAGAAAAAGGATGTCATTGCCTCTCTTCAGAGAGGGAATAGGCAGAGAAAGGATGATTCCACCTTTCCTAAAAGGAAAATGTATGTAAGCATGAAACAGGTGTTTATAACTGAATGATCAAATTTCCTGGTTGTGTTCACTTTAAAGCATGAGATAAGCCCCAAAATAATGATTGTCTGTCATTCTATTATCATCTAAACCCATGTGAGCTGTCCTCACTCAAATCCAATAACAATTAAAAGGACGACTGCATAGAGAAGTATTTCAGAAAATAGAGATGCAGACTTCATCTTGAGTGATTTTATTAAATCTCCTCAAACAGGATCACAAGCACAAATCTCAAAGATTAAAAAAATCTAAAGCAGTTTCATCTGCATTTCAGTTTATGCTGTGTTTTTGACAAGATACATTTCAAGCATGTCTAGTCTGTAGAGACCAGGAGTGAGAGCAATCCACCAAGGATCTGCTTTGCATGATTCAATACAGCCTTCCTCTCGTAGTGACATTAGAAGCTCTCATGAACCTTCTGAACTAAACCAATTCTTTGTGTAAGCTAATGCAATGACCACAGGAAGCAACAAGATAAATGGGCTGATCATTCAAGCACTACCATGCCTGTAAAACTTTAAAGTCTCTGTCTCAACTTATCTGTAATAATTCTTCTGAGTGAAGATGTTCCAATTAGACTGGAAAGCCAACGTCATTCAAATGCCATCAAGCTCAAGAAACTCTTTCCTTAGAATTTATAAAGGGTTTTCTAGCTCTCTGCTAACTGATTGTCATTTCCACAAGTAGTAAGTGGTTGCCTCATAGAATGTCTCCAGTCTGTAACAAAGACAAGGATTAGAAAAATCAAGCCACTGAAGAAGCCTGTTTAAAATCTCACATCATTTTTCATTGTTAAAGATTTTAAATGAGACCTTAATCTAGCTTATTTATATACAAGGAAGAATGCTGTGAATGTTGAACCGATTCTACAGTTTTTAAAGCATCCAGCACTGTGTGACTCTGGTCTGTGGATGACACTGCTTCAAAAGTAAAATTAAAAAAAAAGACATATCCAGTCTGTCCCTGTACAAGAGGACAGTGATTGACTCAGCATCAGGAAATGAAATTATACAACAAAGACACCCCCATTATCTTAGGTTGTTATTTTGCCTGCTTTTTGAAACCGTTATGATAATTCAGAGTGTGGTATTCTGTATTCTGGTTACATTGGTTATAAAAATTTTATATCATGTTTCTTCTCTATAAAAAGGAAAGATTAAAAAAAACACACCAACACCTTGTCCTCTATACAAAACATAATTCCTGGAATCTTTTCTTCCAAACTCAAGGCATTTAAACAAATAATATCTTTGCTCTGTAGAGAAAGAGGCCTCTTCATCAGTGTAGTTAGGAAGACAGGAAAAACAGGGAGGTGTTGTAATTTCCAGTCACTACAAAATGAGCTGGGAAGATCTACACCACAGGAAAAGTCTTGACAATTCTCTGAGCTGAACCGCTTCTTCACGTAGACTAATAACCATAGAAAACAACAAGATGCGTGGACTTGGCCATACAGGGACTACTATGCTGCATATCTTTCAAGCATCTAGCTGAACTTATTTGTAATAATTCTTCTGTGTGAAGGTGATTCAGTGTGTTAGTCACTTGCTAGCCCATACTTGCCTCCAAAACCAGCAATACTTATATCTGACCTCTGCTGAGAGTGTACACGATTTAGAAACTCCTGTCTTTTCTCAGGTATCTGCTATATACAAACTTATTCAAGACCTAGTTGATCTACAGTAAGAAAGTAGCAGATTTCACTGTTTTCTCACATTTTTTGTGCTGTTTTGCAGCTCTCAGATATAAATAGGGTTTTTTTTCAGCACATAAGTCTTTGAAGATTTATATGCTTTA